CTTCTGGTGTTGTTCACTGATGTGAGGTTGGTTTGATACAAGTCACTGAATCATAATCAGAAGTGGAAATCCCAAAGTACAGTATTACTGCAAATGATTAAGTAAGATGCTCCATACAGGAAGCCCTTTTGGGGGGCTGTGGAGCAAACTCAAAGTCTGTCTTGACTACTTCAGGAAAGTTACCACCACCATGCCTACATGAGGACTTCTGGATGCACCGAAAAGCCCCTTTTTGCCTGCTCCTCAATAATTATGTCCTAGACTACAAGTGCATGACGAGAAATGTCAATGAGAGTTTTTCCCTGAGTGTTGTGGGAATAACTCTTTGCCTTGATCCCTGCCCTGTTTATTTTTGAAAGTGCCTTACCTCATTCTTTGTTAGGAAGTGTCTGCTAACAAGTTTTGGCTTGTTTTTATTCTCATTTCCAATTACCTTTTCTTTTTCGCGTGTCTCTGAGGGCATATTTATTTTATTTCTACTTATAGTTAGTGTCTGAAAGCTAAAAGGTAAGATTTAGTAAACATGGAATGGACTAAAAATAGTAAAAGACCATCATTGTGAATCAGAGACCTGTACAACAAGCAAGAAACTCTTGAATGTATGCATCATTGGGTCATGGAAATCAGGATAAACCAATTGTTCATATTCTATCTCCACAACCTGCATCTCCCATAGGTCTCTTTTCTCCTGTTCTGATTAAAGCACAACCCTTTGCAAATCTTCATATTTCAAAAGCCTAAAATGAGAATGGGGGGGCTCTCACATAATGTTTATATCTGGTCAATCACTGATTTTATTGTTTCTACCTCATCATCATCATTTCCTACCCCTTCTCCCTGCATTTCCCCCAAGCTTACATGATCTCTTACCTGATTTCATAGTCTACTTATTTTCCCCTTTGCCCTAGTATCACTGCCTCCAAATCAGCCTACTCATTAGATATTAAGTAAGTTTTCTGTAATACAGATCACAGCATGTCACTACCCTGTTTCAGAGCCCTAGGATCCATCCAGAATAGGCAGATCCATACAGATACAAAGCAGATGAATGGTTGCTAGGCCCTAGGGGGTGAAGAGGAAGGTGTAGGGTTACTAATGGGCATGGTTTTCTTTAACGTGAAGGAAACATTCTGCAATTGGAGCAGCAATGGTTGCACAACACTGTGAAGGTACTAAACGATACTAAATTGTGCACTTTAAAATTATAATTTATCTTAGGTATATTTTGCCATAATGAACAAAAACCCCTATAGTATCAGATCTGTTCATCCCAGTTATTCATAGGAGTATCACAACCCACTCATGTTGCCCATTCATCTCCCCTTGTGTTCCTCCATGGTCAGGGCCACACAGAGACTCACACGTGTGTGCCAATGGAATCAGGCCCCTTGCATTAGTAGGAATAGTGTGCACTCCTGGCAGTGAACCCCCCACTTCTTCCCCACCCACTGTCTGTTCAGGGACCTTCTCCCGTGAGACCCCTGAGTAGTCTCCCCAACACATTTATATCAGCAAGTCCACTGTGAATGTGCCTGAATTTAGGTCCTGAATCCTAGTACTTAAAAAGGCACAACTAGGAAATGTTTACTGCTGGGTCCAGTATCTAGATCCGGGGGGAATAGTATCATTTTCTAAAAAGTGGAATGAAGCTTTAAGTGTTTGCATAACTCTTAAAATTCATGTTGCATTTGTGACCCTCTTGGAAAGTTTGGAACACGTGAGTTTAGAGGCACCTCAAATATGCAGTTGTGGTGATGAGACCGTTTCCCTCCAGGGAGCCTTGAGATTAATCTTGTTACATTTAAATATGTAATCATGACCCAGCCCTGTTTTGTCACACACCTCTAAAAGCTGCCGAATGGGTTGTGTCCTTGATTTGTGAGCAGTGAGGCTTGGCTATAAATAACCGTATAGGTTATCTTTCAGCACTCATAAATTCATTTTTGAGATTAGCATCAGTAAAATGCCGTGAATCAGCTTGAGATCATATTTTGTGTGGGAATTTGAGGCCATGTGAAATGGCTTTTCTTCCTAAAGGAGCTTTCTTTTCTGATCTTCATGTCACTGTGTCCCATGTCACTGGGTCATTACATGTGGCAGCTCAGAAATTGAACCAAGGTTGGACAGATTGCTGAGAAAGCATAATGCCCAGCCCTTTGCGCTCTTCCTCACCAGTTTGTTGTCGTGGACACAGATGGCATGAGTGCATGGGTGTGCAGCTGAGCATCAGGGGAGCAGGTGCCAGGAAAAACTAAGGTGACTTCGTGAATAAGTGTGAAGCACATTTCTATTTATGCTCTTTACTGATGTAAGTACAGAATTCCCTGCTCACCGTAGGACAGATAAAGTTCTGAACAGTGTATCCTAACAAGCAGTCTTGGGACGAGAAACACCAGCAGCAACACTTTGGAGCTGCTACAGATGCAGATTCTTGGGCCCCTCTCTGGACCTTCAGCATCAGAAACCCCAGGTGGTTTCACACAACGCAAGGGGGAGAGCCAGTATTTTAAACAACCCCTTTAAGCCAAGATTATTGATGCAAATATCAGAACAGTGAGGGTTCTAGGGGAGTTAAACTGGTACAGACAGTTTGATTTTGAATTTCAAATGTGGATCGTGTTGGGAGAATAATGTTAATGACTAATATTTATTGAACACACAGGCAAGTATTGTGCTAAGTGTCCCATGGACAATATTTCATTAAATCTCCATGTAACTCACAATGACCGCAAGAGGTAATACTTCTCTCGCAGGCGCTGTACAGTCAACAGAATGGAGGCTCAGAGAGGTTGAGTTACTGCTTAGGGTTCCACAGCTCGCAGTGCCTCTTGTTATACGTGTGCATTCTGACTCCGGGGCCCAGCCGTGGTCCACTGTGCTGCCCTGCATTAGCCACAGCTCTGCTTCTATGGGCAGGAAGACCTTTAGCTCTTGGGTATTTGGTTGATTGCTGTTCCAGACCATTGCTGCCAAACTCATTTCCAGTTGAAGCAGCTGGATTCTGTCACACAGATGACTTGGCTAAGTGTCCTCAGCTGGGCTGAAATTGCACAGAAATCCGTCATCAGATCCCTGCTGAGGCCAGAGACACGGATGGGAATCGGCAGGGAGAAGACTGTAGACTGGGACTGTGGAAGAGGGAACGTTTCCTGTAGAGTTCCAGGAAGGTTCTCTTGTCACGCGTAGGTTCATTTTCAGCCTGGGACAAGCTGAGGAACCTGCTGGATTCCAGTGCACAAGCGGACACAAATGGTTGACTGGGTCCACAGCCATTGAGGCATCAGTGACCATGGGTGAAGGGTAGAATAAAGCAGTTTCCACTTTATGTGCAGAAGGAGCCAGTCCAGTCCCACACCCATAAGTGGGGTCTGGCATCTCTTACTACCCAGAAGGCTGTGAGGAGTTTCATGGAGATACCCTTTGGCTGAGCTTTAAGCTTCATCTGTGCAGGTGCTGGTATTTAACTAAAACTCTGATGTCAGGGTTCTAGCTGATTATCTCACAAGTGTCTGACTTGTGCAAACCACCTCATAGCTCCAACTAGCTCAGTCCCCTCGATGCTCACGTGAATGATGCTACCTGCACCGTGCAGCGCACAGTTTGGACAGCTGTGACCAACAAATTAAAATTTATCTCATAATGTTAATTCTACCAACCTCTGAGCAAGGTTGTAAGATGGCAGGTGCTGGGGGAGAAATGAATATTTTTAATATAATACGTGAAGTGTTGTTTTCTTGCTTCAGTTCCCGTAGATTGAAGTAGGCAAAAGAACCCAGCCTCCTAAGAAGGAGCTTGTGAAGTGATCTTTAATTGCTGATTGTTACCAGCAGCTGGAGAGTAGGGGACACGATCCCAGTGTTGCATGGGTGTACTCACTCTGTCCTCTGTAATTGTGTCTGTTCCACATATGCATCAGGACATCTCAGGCCACGCTGTCCTCCTGCATGTGGCTTTCCAGTACTCTCTTGTGAGTCCTTGCCCTTTGGCATTGAATCATGAAGGCTTCCCATGGTCCTCCGCTTGGGGTACCTGCTGACAGGCTGTGCCTGGCAGTACAGAGGCCAGTCTTCCATTCATCCATGCAGTGCCAGCTCATGGGTGGCCCTCATGTCATTTGAACTTTCCTAACTTAGAGATGGATGAAGAGTACTTCATCCAACTAAAAATGGCAGAGGTGACAGAGCTACACTGGTGAATCTACACCTAAGACTGGGATGGTTCACCTTGTTTTAACTTTAAAGAAAAACCTCTACAAACACACTCTGAGCTCTGGTTGATGTGGTGTGGAGGTATTTAGGGGAATTGTACTGCTGTCCCCATTTTACTAGGAACTGTCAAAAAATAAGATGGATTAATGGATGGATAGAGGGATCAGCAAAGGGATCTAGGTGTGAGAAAGCAAACACAATGAATCTAAAGGGTGAGTGTATGAAATTGCTGTCTGTTTAAAATGTTTTGCCAACAGAGCCTTGGAAAAAGGAGTGTTCTAAAAAAGCATGAAGAATTTCTTTCTGTTGTGTGTTTTTAAGAGAATCCAAATATCTTCTTTATTACTATTAAAAGCTAAGATGGCAAATATTACTTACTGTGACAGCCAACATGGCTGGTAATTAAAAGGTAGAATTAGATAAGCTGAGTACTCAGTTGCAGGCAGACCTGGCCTAGTGTAGTCCTCCCCACTTCTGGGGTCCCGCCAGATAAAACACTTCCCAGCGTGCCAAATAGGGTGGAGGGGGAGAGCACACAGATCAGTCCCAAAAGGGAACCGACAGCATAACTTTGAGTAAAATCAAGATAACTGTACGATTGGAAACTTTTCTACCTAGAAGATACCTATTAATAAAACTATCAGAAGCAGGACAGTAAGCATTTCCAAAGGCTTCGGTTAGTAGAATATATTCTGTATTTTATAAAAGCTTTAAATAATCTGAATTAAAACTCTCCATTATTTACAATGCCCTTTTCTCTAAATGTAAAAGTATCTTTTGTCTTTCTTTAAGGTGATTGTTCGAGGTGGAGGACACATTTTACCCTATGACCAGCCTCTGAGAGCTTTTGACATGATCAATCGATTCATCTTTGGAAGAGGATGGGATCCTTATAACTGATAAACTACTCTTCCAATTGAGAACATCAGGAATTTTAATCTTTGAGAAGAAAATTTGGAAAACTAAAAATGTTATATAGATAAGGACTTTATCATTTTGTATCTGTAAGATGTTTCTCCTCAATAAAAATTAATTGCTCTTGCAACACATGAGCTTTTGATTGAGGGGGGAGATGGTTTGTTACAGAATATCCATGCAAAAGGAAGAAGTCTATGATTTAAACTAGAGGATAGAGGGATTGGAGTCTGTGACACCGATTCAGACAACCATGCATGAATGAGATTCAGGATGCTTTACTAGGAATTTCTAATCCTTCCTCCATCTATGTGAAAAATGCAATAACTGAATAAAGTTGTAACATCTTGTTTAACAAATGATAGAAGAGTTGGTCATACAATACATACATCTGAAGGTGTTTGTAAATATTACTGAATAAGAATAGCTGAATTATCACCCACACAGGAATGGATGAAGTCTTAACAGTCATGAGGAGGAGATTTTTGAATATAGAAAGTCTTAGCGTGAGAGATGGCTTGAAATGCTTTGAAACAGAGATCTTCTATATAAAAGGAATGACATACCAATTCAGGATAAGTAGGGATTCTATTCAGAGATCACACTTGTCTTACATTTTCTTTATTTCTTTTTTTAAGTTTATTCACTCATTTGATATTTTTATCAGATTTCCTCAGGCCACATTAAATCAGTCACTTTTGATGTTTAAATCCCCTACTTCCTTTTACCCCTCCAATAAAGAACAATTTAATTTTATGTCATCATTGGAATTAAAATCTGAGCTAAGCTGGCACCAAAATATAGACACATAGAAATGTACCTACATCACTAATTTTACATTTAACTGTCATCTCCGGGCACATCTCTGGGCCGTATGCCTCGTGTGCACACATCTCTTTGAAATTCTGCAACACATTTGGCTTTTCAACATCACTTCCTTCTCATATCCGTGAATTTGCCCACTGGAGAATTAAATTTAAAAAGTCAAAGCCTGTTCTTGCTACAATTATTGAGGTCTTTTTTTTTTTTTTAATTTCTCATTATGTGCCTGATTTCATTCAGGTTTGTGATCTTCTTTTTTTTTCTTCATTGTGCTCCTGTATTAGAAGTCACCAAATCAAACATTCTGGTCAAAAGCAGTTTTTTAAAAATTATACAGAAAAACTGGGACAGAGGTGGGTGCAAGATGTTTTTCAGGTGATTCCTTCTACAGGTTAAATTAGTTGCACGTGACTCCATAAGTGCAGAGCGGAAAGGGAACTGACTTTGGCTGGAGACCTGAGCTTAGCCCCTCCTGGACCACACAGGCACTGAATGGTTTGGATAACTTGGTTCTCCACTCTGGCCTCTAAAGTCAAAGACTTTTGCAAAGGAGGAGGTTTCAGACCTAGGCTGCTTAACCTTCCAGCCTAGACTGACAGTCTGTTCTCACAGCACCCATTTCACAAGATGAGACTGTCGGTCCTTATTATTTGTGCATCTGTGTTGCAAATATGGCCTAATCACTAAAAATTGTATTTGTTACTCAAATATCAGTACTGGGTCTGTATTTCATACAAGCTTTAAATACTTCGATCTAAATGTAAAACTTTCCATTTATTTATAGTGTGCGTTTCTCTAAATTTCAAAGTGACTTGCAGAGGTGGCCAAATATTAGAGTTGTCCAATACTCATGCTCCCAACTGAGGCTAAACAAATGTGACACTGTGCCTTTGTGTTTCAGCTTTCATACTGGAAGCAAGAGTCCTTTTCCTCTTCTTGTCAGTGCCCCATTTTGTGCATTTTTATAATTTCCTTGCTGATTTTGCTGTCTAAAATAGTCCTGAGCACAGTGCCTACGTGCTACCTAGTATCCCTACACACACACACATACACACACACACACACACACACACACACACACTGATGTGCTGTATGGAAAAAAGTTTCATTCAAACCTGAGTTAAATTGGTGGCTCTAAGTTCAATATTAATGAATCAACACTATGTAGTAAATGAGGTGACTAAGAAACACACACAAAGCAAGGTTATGTGCTGACAGGTTGACAGGAACATGGTGAGTTGAAGCTAGGAAGAACATAATCTTACATTTCCCTTAGAAACAATGGCTCCGAATTTGCTAATTCAGAGTTAATGGAGATGTTCTAGAATATACATACCTGCAAAGAGGCTCAATAGTGTTTACAAAGGTCTTCCCATAGGAACTGGCACACAATAACAGTTCAGTAAATGGAAATCATGGATGTTTTCATTTTTTTATTAAGTTTATTGGTACAATTTAGATATGCTTAATGATCATATTCATCATAGGAAATGTATACCTATACATGATATATCATGAATCCTGTCCCCTGCAATGTCCTTCCTTCCTTTCAACTTTATTTACAAAGATTTATTTCCATTTTATCTCTCTTTTATCATTTTTCCTTTCCTCCCTTTCCCCATCTGTCTCTCTAGTTCCCCTTTCTTTTGAACAATTTCTTCCCATTCCACAATACCTTTTGTACACTTTGGTCCTTATTTACACTTTTGGTATCTCACACAAGAGAAACAATGTGATATTTACACGTGTCTGATTTGTTTCATTAGTCTCAAGGTGCATACATTTACCTAGAAATGTCTCATGTTTATCCTTCTTTATGGCTGAGTAGTACTCCACTGTATTAAAAAAAAAACACATTTTTTAATCCATTTCTCTGTTAATGGGCATTTGGCTATTTTCCAAGATCTAGCTATTAAAAATTGTGCTGCTATAAACATAAACGTGCATATATCACTGTGGTATGACATTTTAAATTTTTCTGGGAAGATACCCAGAAGGGAGTAGCTGGGGGATTTTTCATTTTTATCACCTGTCTGTCCCAGATACTAAGACAGTGGGGAATATTGGGGTAGGATAAGGACACAACATGCTGGGCCCTCCAGGAGAAACCTTGCCAATTCATTGGAGGATAGTGTCCCACAGAAACTGAATCTGAATGTAACTTACTAAAAGAAAGGAGAAAAGGGTAGACCAGATACTAAAGAAAAACAAGTTTCTAAATTTAACTGGAGAGATTCTTAGAGTTTGCACCTTCTATAGTATGTTCAAGACAATCCACTAATGTCCAGGGAGAAAATTCTAGAATGTCTCTCTATACTTGCTTCATTTGAAAATGAGAAAACAGTGAGCCTTACTAATATTTAACACTGGACACTCACCATGCCCTCCCTTGGTCCAGATGTGAACACAGTCCAGTGTCCCATGTGATGGTCATCACAGTTAGCAGACAGCAGTGCAGAGTGGGAGCTGTAGCGGGGAGAGGCCCAGAGAGGAATTTCTCCTGGTTCTGGCTCCAGCATATTTCCAAGAATTACAATTTACAGGCATATAGGACATTGCTATTGTGATCAATTTTGTGTGTGATTAGTTTTATAGAAACAGAACCTTCCAATAGTAGAGCCTTTATGACACTTCTTATGTGGATGGGCGATGGCCACTTGGGTCTCTTGTCCTACCCTGGCTACCTCGTGGCAGTGCGTATAAGGGGGATGTGGCCCTTGACAACCAGTCATGCAGTATTAATCTCTGACAAAGATGCGTGCTACAGACTTTTTGTCATTTCCTGTCATTGCAAGTGGCTACTGTGTGTCTCTTAGCAGCTATCTTTCATTATTTAAAAAAGTAAATTCTGTGCAATCCATTCTTTCAAGGTAAAAGTGGTAATGTCACAACTAGTGAGAAAGTGAATTTCTTTTAAAAGAAATTTGAATCTATGGCAACCGTGTTTTCAAAACAGATGTTTGGAAATGTTTCCGTCTTAATTGTAAGCACATTACAAAAACAAAAACATCCCTAAATTCCAAGAAAACTTCAACAAAAATCTTTACACAAAAGCTGGATGGGATTGAGAAATGAGCTTTGAGAATTCGTACAACTCATGGAATGAGGCATTTCTTTCACTTGGATCTATATGTTGGTGTGAAATATCTTCCAGTTAGACTTTGAACCAAGCATTAAAATAAAGTGAGCATAAAACCAGACACTTAGTTGGTATTTTATAAGAGAGTAGCTCAAAATTATCTGAAAATAACAAAGCATATTTAACACATGGACCCTATCAAAGGCATTAATATTTCAGAAAGCAAAAGTATTTTGCAGCATTAAAAAGCAAATGAAATTTTAAAAATTAAGTATTTTAAATTTCATCTTTATCCTTTTCATGTTGATTAAAATTTCATAACATAAGTACTACTTACACAGTAGTGGAATGATTATACTTTATAAAGTAAGTAACATTTTAGGGGTATGTCTTCAGCATCTGTGCAAGGGTATGCACATGTGTGTGTGTGTGTGTGTGTGTGTGTGTGTGTGTGTGTATGCATGTATGGCTAGGAATGTAAGCCAAGGTCTCATACATACTATGTGAGTGCTCTATCATTGAGCGATACCTCTCATCAGCAATATTTCAGTGATAAGACCTGACAGCAAAAATGTTTAGAAACCATTGCTTCAGAGGACAGAAAATATCTAATTCAAAAGGAGCCCTAAGTTTTGTAGTAGTCTTAAGTTTCAAAGCAGCTAAAGAAGGACCCAGGAGGAAGGGAAGGGAATAAGGAAGGAGTAGGAAGGAAGGGAGGGAGGACAGCAGGGAGAGAAGGAAGGAGAAGAGGGGGGAAGGAAAGAGGCAATGGGTTGCATAATGTGCTTTATCTTGAAAGTTTTGCAAATCAGATTGTTGTAAACTTAGAGGCAGGATACCCTCCACCCAAGATGAGCTAATGCACATTTGAATCGTGAGTCTCTGGAAATTACTAAGAGCTGTCATTTAATTATTAATATGGAGTTCTCAAATTGTCTTTTCTCATGCCACCAAAAACATGGATACAGCCAGAAACCAAGGCCTGAGATCTTGTAGCAAGTTTCTTGACTTAAATCTTGATTTACAGAAAGTCTGGGGTCTCTTTCTTTCTTCTCATGAATAACAACACCTCTGCTGTCATAGCTGGTGATACAAGTGTCAATCTTAGGTCACTGAAACCCCTAGTTCTAAGCTCAGAAACCTCATGTGGGGCCCTGGAGGGCCTGACCTCTAGCCAACAAGGATGGCACAAAGACGACTGGCCCAGGCTGCTCCCCTCCACTGTCACAGG